GTAGACTAACTAGAAGTTATTTATAGTAAAGGTAAATACTTAGTACTAAATACAGAGGATCTTATATACCTTAAATAAGGTCTATTATCTTACTATATATATCTATATAAGTCCGTAATACTAAGCAGCCTTTCTCTAACTTTAAGAAAAGGGATCTTAGCTTGTTCTAATCTAGGATATAAGGACTTAGTAGAATTCTACCTTCTTAATACTTTATTATATAAAGAGACTATATAGTTTCTTCTAGCCCTTCTATAAGGAGTATAACTATAAGGAGATATTACTTAATATTTAAGAATAGTATTAAATTAACTATCTTCTATAAATCACTTAGCTATTCTTTAACTATATAATAGAGCTCTTAAAGATAAAGGAGGTTACTATATATCTTATCTTTAAGATTTATAATACCCTCTTTAATTACTTTTTTAAAGTAGAGGTACTACTTAAACGTAAGCGTATTCTATAGAAATTAGATATACTTAAAGCACTTATAGCTAGTCGCTTAAAACTTAATAAGTACTACTCTTAAACTAATAATCTTAAAGGATATATCTATATAGTTAGGATAATACTAGTATTTAATAGTAGATTTTAGTTCTTTCTATTTGATAATTAGGAGCTTTACTAGTATAATACCTACTAGAAATCATTCTAAGAATTATTAATTCTATATTAAGAGCGCTTTATAATAAATTAAGGATCAACTAATACTCTAATAATAGTATTATCTAGTTCTAGGCTAAATATAATACTAAAGAGTAATAAGATATCTATAAAACTAGCTAATAATAAGATGACTTAATATCTTAATAGTAGTATATTTATAATCTATTTCTTCCCTATATAGGATAATACTAATATATTTATACTATTAGATCTAATTAATATTAAACCTCTTTAATTCTAGTAGGAGAACTAATCTCGTTTCCCTATAATTATATTACTTACTCGCGATATTCTCTCTATTCTAGTAACTAGTACTAGTATCAAATAGCTCTTTAATACTACTTAGGATATTTATCACTACCGCTGTGGTTATCTAAAGTCCGAAATAATCAAGGAGCTTATATTATTTCTATATACAATAAGATTTAATATTAAGGATTCTAAGGTAAAGCAGCTTAAGTAGTTCTTTACACTAGCTAAGATTAAGTTAGCAAAAGAGTAGAACGATAAATATACAGAGGATACTAAGCTTAACCTGATTAGTGATAATAAAGAGAAAGAAGGAGTAGATAATAGACTACAAGAGACATCTCCTTATTTAATAGATATAGATATAGAGGTAACAGAGCTAGAGTTACCAGAGACTACAACTCAGAGATAGGCCTCAGGGAGGAAGCGTAAGAGTAGGGTAGATAAGGATTTTAAGCAATATTAGAGAAATACATCCTAGTTCAATTATTTAATTTATTCTCCATTTTTTCTAGAAGAGCGCTATAAGTAAAATACTTAATATTACAAGCAAAAAATGCATTAATTATACAGTTATACGCTAGAAGTCTGTTTGTCTGGTTTACACTATATTGGGGCCCCAATGGGTTACCTAATGGGTTTTGGGTTATAAGCTATAACCTAAAACCCATCGTTAGGTCGAAGCAATGGACCCAAAACCCATTTTGGGTTGGGTTGGGTTGGGTTGGGTCCGGGTTAGAGTGGGTTGTGCCGAAGTCTATACCTAAGATTATATAACTATAACTCTTTACTAATATTAAGTAGGAGTAGGAAGTTACTATAACTCTAGTAGATATACCCCTAAGGGGTATATCCTAATAAGTAGGAATAAAGGATATATAAGGATACTCTCTTATATACTTAATTTAGTTCTTTATTTTTAATTATATATTATTACTTATATTTACCTTACGACTTTAACTTACTTACTATATTATCACTTAATAATACCTACGAGGAGACTAATACTACGGTATAGATCGACTCGGCGCTCTACCTAGTATCGTTCCCTGATACCCTTAAAAGGACTTAGGCTGGATAAGACTGTGCGCAGCAACAGCTCGGTTGAGAGACCGATCATTGACGTTGGAGGACCAGCAAAGGCAAAGTGGCAAAGGGAAAGCCTCTAATATAACCGTGACCAGTTAGGCAGTGTGTAACATCAATCAGGTTCAAATTTAGTGCCTGCGTCATGTAGAATGATAATCAAACGGCTATAGCTGTGAACGAAATTATAAAATTAGGAAATATTAAGCGTAAGTAAAATGACATGTAAACAAATAATGCTTGATCTCTGTTCGTCACTTGTTCAACAGTCGCCAATGATACTGATGGTAAAACCCCGCAGGTGAACACCAAAATCATTTTTGAAGCCAGATTATCAAGGCTTTGGCGATTTTCCTTCAAAAAAAGAGGCACCGTTTGGTCGATCAGTGTTCTGAGCAATAGATTTCCGTCTAGAGCGGGTTGTTGACCTCTTGGAGACGAAGCTAGTTGACATTTGACTAGCTTCACACACTGCTTCCATACACAGCTTCTGTGTGCTCCTCAACTGGACAATTTGAGTTAAAGGATCACGATCACCATCCTTGATTAAAGAGATACACGGGAACACGGTGAGAATGTTCACGTCTTGAATAACTTGATCCTTCCTTTTTGGGATCGCATTATCCCCGGGGAAGCGGAAGGGATCCCAATCGTCATCCCCGAAATCGACTAGATCGAATGCTATTTCATATCTCAACTGAGCTGGCCGGATTGGAAGCCAAAATTCAGCAGCTCTTTGTACGATTTTCCCAATACTTATGCGGATCGCATCATGCTGGTCTCTGAGAGCAAAGTCCACAAATATGACGACATATTGCGGATCACTGTCTGTATTCTTACCCGGAGAATACTTTCTTCGGCACTTTGATCAATCGAGAGAAGAACACGTCGGTAGAAACTTCCCTTCTCGGTATCATTCTCGGCGAGGTGACTAAGGATTCCGTGGATTTCTGAATCTTCTGGTAAAATGTAATTTGGCCGGAAGATATGTTTGCAAATCTCTCTTGACAGGATGGCCAGAAGATATGCGACACATTTGTGGGCAATTTGGGAATGTGCGCCCGGAAAATATCTTGCTCGTTCGTTTTCCAAATACTTTTGCGTAGTGTAATGGGCCAATCGAATAACATCAGTTTGCTCATCAACGACGACCGAGAAACAAAGCGTGTGTGCCTGAGGGGTAAACTGCTCTCGAAAATCGCTGTAAAGAGTTTAGGTCTCGCACAGAAGGAGTTTATTCTTGCCTTCTTATAAATGACTGACAATGAAATTGGTGGCTTGAAGCGCCGTAGGTACATACTTTGACCAGTCAACACAATCTGTCTTGCGCCCCCAACTTAAAAGGTGAAAGGCAAAGCGCTAGGTCAAGCCAAACCATTGGTGGACTAAATTTAGCAATGCTAAGTTAGGCGCACCTTCATTTCAAAGGGTGGCACTTGTTGTATTGTTAGCATTTTAGGAAGTGAATAGCTGACTGGGTGAAAATAGCTAAACAGTGGGACTATATGAACTACTTGATGGTTGCTGGGTATGGGAAGCTCAGCCTCACTGTGGATAAGATTTCTGTCCAAGGCGGAGAAGAGAGGGTACAGCCAACCAAGGCCGGCGAACAACAATCCCAAAACGCGTATAGTACAAAGTCTCCAACAGCACCCACTCACAGCAAACTCGAGCCACACTTAATGCTGCTGTAGCTTCAATAGTCTTAGACGTCAGTGAAGATAAAAATAAACTGAGCTTCGTGGTCATTCGGCGATACCATAAAATGATTTGGGGAAGCGTAGTTGTGTCTTTAAATGCCATCTAATAGGGTCAGTTGGTTTGGTTCTGATCGGGAAACAATAACATTACGCGTTAAATGGGATCGAAGACATTAAACTCCTAAGGCACTCCCAAAGGGGTTACACACCCGTTGAAAATCTTCCGCGAGCCAATATTCAAAGCTGTTACGTTGTTTGCAACATAAACTTCTCGCCTAGGTCATGGTTACGATTTGTCTGTTTCAGAGATACGCTATGGCTCCAAATATTACACGGATTTACAATCTTGTCATCATGTTTGAATTCAGAAAATAGTTAAATATTTAACAGCCCGTGTTTTCCATAATAAAATGATCTAGAGATCAATATCACTAGCTGGTCGAGCAATATTCAGTCGCCAGTGGTGCCGATTAACCGGGTCCTTTTGGTACAGATTGACTTCGAAGAACTTGTTGTGCATTGTACACTTGAAGTTCTTGTACCTATATGCAATTAGTTTTTGTAGTTTTCGATACAGTATGTCTGATATCCATTGAACATACGAATTGAGCTTCTGGAAATTCCCAGCGATCAAATCTTGCTCAGTAATCTCCACAAATTCAGCCCGATCTCCATTTGCTTCAGGGTGAGGGATGAAATATCTTTTAGCCTCGATAGCGCCAAAATTGACCTGTCGAACAAACTGAACCGCGTAAGGTGGCGGGTTATCCGGATTCTCGAAGAACGAAGCTGAAACGGCAGAGGGGGATGATTCGGACCCTTTGGCCCAAGCAATAAATGGATCAAACTTGGCCTCGTGGGAAAGATGGGCCGGTCGATAAGGAGATGGGGAAGAGCAACAGAAAATGGAAGACATTGTTGGACAGTGGTTGCTTAGTTGCAGTATTGTCTTTTAAAGTGGTCATGAAGACATTTCTACTCGAGGGGAATGATCGGCTTTATACGCCCTTCAAGTCAGTTGCATCGAGTTCGTACCAATCTAGCTTCGACCTAGGGGGCTTAATTTAGGAAAACTTTTAGCAACTTAGATGTAGAATGACGACCATGAATATATTCTAATCCAGATTTGTCAATTAATATCGTATGCTGCGGGCCGATTGTTCAATAATGTTTCTTCATGTTGAGGCCCCCTTCCGATCGGCTCTGTCGATGCCCAATTCATACGTACATCCTTTAACCCATGACTTCTAGGCCGATAGTGGAATTGAAACTCGATAATCCGGCCGGCTTGCGACATGCGACCCTCACCAATCAGAACACTGCATTTTGAGGCCCCCTTCGCACGGTCCCTCCGCTGGCTGAGATCAAGTCGGGTAGTAGTTACATACTGCATACTCGATTATGTAGCTGAAACGCATAAAGGGGTGGTGATGCCCTATTGTGTTTTCTATTTTCTCTTCCTTTCTCAGGGGCAGCGGGCCTCTCATCGTCGCTCTTTAAACTTTACTTTACCGCTGCTACTGCCATTCCTTTTCCCGCGCCTCTGAATCTGCTTCGTTTTTCTTCATTTGTTGATTGCTAAGAATATTGTTCGCTGTTGTGTGTCAATTGAGAAGCAATTGTACCTTCTCTATCCCATCGAAGCTGTAGCCAGTCTGTATACTGGGGTGTCAAAAGCGTGAAGCTACTTATCCCACCTTTTTCCGCGGCGAGCACACATACCAGAAACCCAACTAAAAGTCACCAACCGACAGTCCACACTTTCTGAACAACAAAAACAACATCTTCTGAATTCTGGACTTGTCGATCCAGCGTGGCTACACGTGTCGGACACAACTGGTCCACGTGCATCTCCCATTCCCACACCCCAGCCCCGCTTTCCTGATACTACAACACACGATGGAGAGCAACATCAGCATCAAGTCATCTTGCAACAACCAGAAGAATATTCTCAAGAGGAGCCAATAGAAGAAGATTGTGTTTCCGGCGTGATTTCTACCTCATCTTTCGCGGCGGACAACGTCTCTTCGCTACAGTGTAAATACTGCCGGAGGGAATACCAAAGCCGTGGATTGCTAAAGTATGTTTTCTTCTCATGCAGATACTTCTCTATTCTCCCAACATTATTCTGATGATCTAAAAGCACGCACATAAAAACCCACACACGTCCCTTCAAGTGTACTATGGACGCATGCACCAGTGAGTTTGCAACCGCAAAAGACCTCATGCGACACAAGCAAACGGTACACAAAGCCAGTGGATGCATTATGGCGTACTGTCACTATCCTAGTTGCGACTATTCTGCGAACGGAAGGAAAGGGCCAATGCGCCAAGATAATCTCCAGCGCCATATCGGAGCCAAGCACCGTCTAGAGGCTGGATTCTAATGCTTTTGTCAGTACAGACGAGTTTATATAGGATTTAGCTCAGATACTTGACCCAGGAAATTCTAGCTCAAACATAGTCTTTGTGACCTGGCTCCGTAACCATGTTCCTCTCTTGTAACATCTAACCACTGACAGAGCCTAGTTTGTATGTAGTAAGTCTGCCCTCTCTAAAGTGAGGATGTACTCGAAAGTCTATAAATCTTGGTGGTATATAATGCTTCTAGCCCCAGATATCACCGTTCGCCGTGGCCTTATCGCCGCTTCTGTTATTAAGCCATGGTATGTACTGTACATATACTATACTCTAGGAGTTAGCTTCCCTTAATTTCTCCAATTCCCGCTAGGAAAATCGTCGCGCTGCGGAACGCCTCGTTCACTTCCCACCGTGGAGTCTGCCACGTTAACCTCAATCTTGGGCAGCCAAGGACTACAATTTCAGGTTCGCTGATGTCTTATCAGCCTTTTTAAGAAATTTATCCCTGTGCTTTGAGACTGGGTATACGTATCATAAAGTACGTGCCCAGTAAAAAGTGTTGTGATATGAGGTTGGTGCAGGTCAGGAACGAAGCCGCACTATCGGAATAAATCCCGAGGAGTCTATATAAAGAACCAATAAGTTGATTTCCAATAAACTTGGACTTTGGCGAGCTGTTAGACATCCCTATCTCCATTTTGGTAATGATTGTTGTATTGAATCACCCATCCTTGGGTAGCCAGACTTGGTATACAGGAGTTGAAGGAACAGTCATTAAAGGTTATAGAGAGTCCGTATAAATGTTAAGCCCTGGCGTTTATCACGCCTTGTTTGAGATTGCGGTTGGCGATAACGCCATGTGTTGAAGTAAAGCTCAAAGTTTTTAACCACTGTTTGATCAGCGGGCTTTTTAACTATCAACTCCCTATCATTATAACAAATCTATCCAAGGCGTAGCCTAACACAGAAAATAACAAGTTTCCGTTATTCAGCGCTGTCTATGGGATGGGGATTATTAACTCGCCCACTCTTTTCGTCTCTCGAATAAAAGCTTGATGCTGTGGGAATTCCAAAGATCATAAAGGTTGCTACCACTGAGTCGATTTTCTCCTAGTTAGTTATAACTCTGTACCCGGCATCCTATGCTTGTACCTAGACAGATTAAGCGTGGTATTAGGATAATATCTATAGTGCTGTGTCGGACTTTACCGCTTGTTACTTTCTTCTTCTGCCCGCAAGTAATATCTGCAAATATGCTATTTATAGGTGGAAGCCCATAGGTATATCACCAAATCATAACACTATTTTCGAAAATAGGCGGAGAAGATAATCTAATATTCTCAAATGATATATGAAAGCCCTGCCGTGACCGCGCCGAACAAAAGGCAATCGAGGCTCCTGGCCCTGCTGAGTGGCCTGTCATAGAATTTTATTAAAAATATCGGGACTTAGTCATTTCTTAGGCGTCGCCTCACTAGGTGCAAAAGCACGAAGGTAGTTGGGATGGTTATTTTCATGGACAAACAGGTTGCTCGATTGATCTAGGTTCCGTTTAATATGGGTCGCGACCTGTGATCTATTGACTTGGTTGTCTGCCTACGCCAGTGCCATTTAATAACCTCCTGCTAGGCTTACCTCCTGGGTATTTTGACTATACGCCGAGTGTCTTTGAATCTTGCCTGTTCCTAAACCAAGATATTATCAACTCTCTATTTAGCTTGTAGGATCCGTCCAATTTGAGCCATGGAGTTCCCCATACCAACGCTATTCGACGGCAGTTTAAATGTGGCGTTTGGGGATGCAAGAGTCATTTCAAACTTCGAAAGACCCTTAATCGTCACCTGGAAAGCCATTCAGGGGAGAGGCCTTATGTCTGCTGGGTACCTGGGTGTCAAAGCAGCTTCTTGCGTCGGGACAACCTTAAAGTATACTATACAACGCACGAGAAACGTAAGGGCCGCAATCGATATGTGGCTACCCTGGATAGGACAGCATCTGTCTATAATCCTGAATTCTGTGGGAAGCTAACGCCCGAAGGATGGCCACTAGACCACGCTGGCCAAGACTGATCCTGGCGCTCGAGACGTACGATGGCGCTCCTCTGTTGCCAAGGTTGTGGTAACAGATAGGTTTGAATGCAGTTGAAATTTGTTTCTCCTAGTGCTGTTTGTTCTAAGAACCTACAAATACCTTACCACAGTCTTGTAACCCTCCATCTAGTCTTCTACGAACAGATTTGACATGTAATAGAGATGAGCAGATTGAATACAAGTAATGCTTACTAAGTTCAAAGCTATTCACATCGTTTGACAATCGCAATATCATGACATACCAAGGACACCGAGGCCAGGGTGATCTAGGGATTCGGGCAAAGAATTAATGTAGGTTAAAGAGCAAAACTCCAACAGTTGGGCTACGACGGAGCCTGTCCCGCGTGAGAGGCCAAAGGACACTGTCCATTTTACAAGCTCGATGCACTTGAAGGAGCTATGCTAGACATGGCTTAAGTCAGTCAGGGATTTATATGTAGATCTTCTGCGTAGGCAATAATAGTCAACATTTGGGCAGGAATAGGGTATATAGCTGTGCGACCAGCTCTATCAATTAAAAGATACTGCATTCAGATTTTCGAGTACCTATCTATAACGCCTACGGCCTACAGGTATACCTATCATAAGTATACCTACTATACCACTAGACTTCGGTAGAACCCATTTTGGGTCGGAACCTCCGACCTAAAACCCAACCTATTAGGTTTTGGGTTCCGCCCTCTATAACCCAACCTAACCTAATAATAATCTATTTAACCCTTTTTTTATATAAAATATAGAGGCAGCCTTTATTTCCAACGACTAAAGGACTGTGCTAGCAGTGATTCAGGCTGTGCCAATAATGTTTACCTTCCACCATACACACAATTCTTCCAAATTCAGCTACCCCAATCACATGTTAGCGGCTGAAGGCCTTAAGTTACAAGGAATTGTAATCGGCATTTCAACAAGTAGCCAGCATCTCAACAAGAGCAGCCTTCTCGTCTGAAGTGACGGTGAGATCATAGACCGATTTCACCTTCACCCACATTTTGGCATAAGTACAGTAATATGAAGCTGTTTCGATGTTAGCAATCTATATACTACTTAGAAAATAACCACAGTTTGAGACATACCCAGCGGAGGCTTCCAGGACTCTGGGCCTTTGTCGCCCTTTGAAGAGTTCACGTTGTCGGTGACTGCTAATAGCTGAGGATTCGTGAGGTCATTGGCGAAGGCTTGCCGATCTGCTTTGGTCCAACTAGATGCGCCAGACTGCCAATATTTATTAATATCTCAACCTGTCACCTTTGATAGATGATCCGAGCTCACCTTCCATGCGTTTGACAACGGGACAACGTGATCAATATCAACGTCACTGGCAGCTGTCCACGTCGCGCCATCATACGGAGAAAACCAGGATCCACTGGTAGCACCACAGCTAGAGCTTTGAACCACGTTCATTCCATCCCGTTTGAGGATTGTTTCGTGTGTGTTGCAATTTCTGTTGACAGCAGGTTCAGCTGCCAATACTTCAGAAACACTAAGATTTTACCTACTCACCCGCTGATCGTAATCCAGTGCGGAAATTCCTCACGGCTATATCCATCCTGCAATCCCTGTGCAGCAACGGTCAATCCTGCCAGCTCACTCGCTGCAGTAGAGGCAGACGGGATTCCAGGTGGTGACGGGGCAGGTAACGCTCCGCATAGGAAAGGCTGGAAGGCGAACACCAAAACCCAGGCAGTGCGAGAGATGCCCATTGTGGTCTTCTTTGGTAAATGGGGACGTTTTTCCGATTGACCTCCGACTTCCGACTGGAATGTGGTGAGGAAGCAAAGCTAATGCCAAGAATGTAGGATAACGACAGAGCCTATCGAAGTCGGGGCTGTAGGTTTTATACTCCGGTTTTGTCTACTAACCCAGGCCAAAACCCCGCCCATATATTATACCAATCCAGTGCCAATTCATCTCCAAATGGATTGTCACATCGGCTCCCGAGTCTTGGCCCGGTGCTTGGCATTGCACGTTGATGAATCATTGGCTTGTAACTAGACGGCGCGGGAAGTGCGGGAGTTGTGATTGATAACAAATACCCCATTTGCCCTAGATTCATATACGGACAAGTCATATGAGCCGGATAAGGATCAGACAAGGGCGCTCGCGTAGAAGGTTGGAACAGAAGTTTGCATGAAAGGTCATAGTGAAATTCAAACGTGGAAATGATCGTCGAAGATCTTCCCCCTTTCTCTGTCTTGGGCTGCAGATTATCTGGCCACGCTGTACTCCGTACTACAGTCTACACTAAGACTCGAACAGGGAGATCGATACATAGCAATAGAAAAAGTTAATCTATGAATGATTTGTGTCTACTTCACAGTAAGCCTCGGGCAAACTGCCACGGGAGAGATACCTTCACGCCCAGTTTCTTGGCTGCCGTGAGCACCCATTCCGGCTCGCGCAGAAATTGACGGGCCATCAACACGGCATCAGCCCGAGGATTTGGACCAGATAGCATTGCCTCTGTCGCCTGTGCTTCCTCTTCGGCACCCTGGACAATATCGCGAGCGGACTCAGCCTCTGTAATAAAGCCAACAGCTCCTACCAGGGTTGTGTGGTTGGCAGCGTGAATTTCTTGACGAATTTGGCCGGCGAGGTCAATTTGATAGTTGGTATGAGGCTCAATCCGTTGGCTTCTATGATTACCTCCCGAGCTAACATCCAGAAAGTCAATCCCTAGATCTGGTAACAATTTGGCAAGTTGAATTGAGGATGCTATATCCCAGCTTCCGGTTCCTGCTGCGACTGTTTGATTTTCGAGCCAATCAGTCGCACTGATACGAAGAAACAAAGGCATTCCACTTGGTACGACGGCACGGATTGCAGCAGCCACCTCGCGTAAGAACCGAGTTCGGTTCTCAAAGCTACCACCATATTTGTCGGTTCGTCGATTGGTAACAGGGCTGAGGAATTGATGAATCAGGTATCCGTGGGCACCATGGATCTCAATTACATCCACTCCTGCTTGTACGGCGAGCCCTGCACTTCGTGCAAATGCCCGGACCACTTCTTCAACCTCGGCCGTTTCAAGCTCGCGAGGGGGCCAGAACTGATCGCCAGGTGCCCAAATTTGCTCTTCTCCACCAGAGGGGCCAACTACATTTGATGGCCAGCCACCAACACTTTCATCGGCTTTGATGCCGCGTTGATTTGCTTGGGATGCGAGCCAGGGGGCCGCCGTGCTAGCCTTCCGGCCGGCGTGAGCAAGCTGAATTCCGATCTTAGCCCCTTGACTATGAACGAAATTCACCACGCGACAGAGTCCTTTGAACTGCTCGGAGTCTGTCCCCTCTTGCCAAAGGCCGGAATCATTGGGTGAAATGCGACCATTGAATTGGACTGATGTGGCTTCGATGAGAATCAGACCGACGCCCTTCGTGGCCAAATGACCGAGGTGCGCGATGTGAAAGTCTGTGAGCGCGCCTACAGCCGGAGAAGTTGGGTCTGATTCGGTGGAGTACATGCACATAGGCGCTACGATCACGCGATTCTTGAATGTAGCATCTCGAATTTGTAAAGGGCGGAACAGTGTCGGGGTGTCGGGATCCCGTGGGTTTATAGCCGCTCCAGCATTGTTGGCGGGAGTAAAATAGGGCAGACCCTCGGCCTGGTGGATCGGCGGGCAACGAAACGAAGTAGATCCCATTTTTATATATTGTCTAAAGATTAATAAAGATTAACAATTGACCCATTCAGAGATCCAGAGAGGAAGCAGTGCTCATTTATATATGTCGGAAATCACCGGTACAGCAATGTATGTTTCAAAATGACAGATGTGTATGACTCTAACTAACTAAAATGACAAGAATCCCCTATTTGATAATTTACTGGGGCATAACTGACTAAGCTTAATATGCAATTTGTATGGGGCCCACTATCATAGCGGTCCATGTATTTTCCGAGGTATTGAATACTCGGGTTCCTAGTCATGTATTGTAACATAGCTTCTGACAATATATACACTTGCGACAATCCATCGGCTGACAAATTGACTTATTTCAAGTGCTGGAAGTTTCCGCCACTTTTCGGAGAGAACACCGAACGCCGATATCGGGAATTTCAACCCTTCGCAAGGGGTCAGTGAATGACAGTTAAGAGATATATAGGCACGTAACACTCCGTACAACAACAAAAGCGCATCTGTGTAAGATATTTTCGATTATCTCAATCCCAGGTTTCGTATGCCATTATCAGCCAAGTCCGAACACAGTAAGTTTCTCCTCTACAGTGCATAGCAATTTACTTGGATCAGGTTCCTTCAACGACAGCTGAGGGCGTAAGACGACCTGCAACACCAACCGTGTATCTCGGATAGTCATATCATACAGTCATTGTTGTTGGCTAGCCAAAAGGCCGCAATGTGTGAACTGTAGGGTAACCTGAAACAGACAAATGCGCCGAGTTGGGACCCTACAACATAAAATGGCCAACAGAAAAGGTCTAGATCTAACTGTAGCTACCCCAAGAGTGGCTCAATCTCTCGATCCATCAATACCTGTGCACTATGCAAAAGATACGCGTATATATGAACTTCAATAAGGACCTTCCCAGCCATCGTTTCCATCTTGACATCCTTTACAGAGACTTGGAATCCTAGCATACCCGGGTCGAAAGTAATTGACATATTTCCCCCATTCCTTGGAATGAGGAGCAATCATTTTCATCAATGGATGAATACAACCGGAAAATCCCCCAAGGCACTGGGCCGTAAAACATTTGTCAAGGTCTAGAATCCAAAAATGGCCACAACCATAGGGACCTGTATGATCAAGTCTTCTAACAGACACATCTAAATTTATACAATTGTCAGAAAACATGCCCCTATCATTGTAACAAATTGTTTGACTTGCCTCCAAGTTGTATTTCTCCTTGATTCCTTTGATCCTTTGATACCCTCGCGACTTCACACAGGGGATACTACAATGTCAGGACCTGGCTGTTATAAGAGTATTTCCTGCAAGAATGATGACCTTAAAGAGAACCTTTTGTAAAAAGGCTACCAGTCTCTACAGTATTATCCTTTTATTATGGACTATACATGCTGAACATTCTTGTTGATACAAAGAAAATTGATTGTATGACAGAACACGAGCAGTGGGAGTGAGGAGATTCTTTTTAAAATAAAGGGGAATCAATTTTAAACTGTTTCGTATTTTTTCATGTGCTCCTCAAGCTACACGTTACACCATTTCTCAATCTCATATGGGTTATCAATGAAAAATAGCCAATCGTATCGTCGCTACTTAGGTACGTTGCTTGCTTGCCCACATCAGCTGCACCAACCCCAACTTCAACTTCAACTTTGACATATCGCTCACCTTCAAGCAGTAAACCACCTTTGCTCCTTTTGCCTTTTTTCTATTTTATCCTCCTTTTCAGGTTAACTTTTTCAATACATCAGCTCTGCCAACCGAAACTCAACTTCAACTTTGACATCTCCCTCACTTTCAACGAGCCAACTACCCTTGCTATCTTTGTTTCACCCCCACGCCCATCATATCGCCATGGTTACAACAATCTTTACCAATGGACGTATTCTCTGTCCCGGCTTATGGGGTACCTTTGTCTCTACGTTAGTAGTCGAAGATAACCATATTGCGCACGTCGGCTGGGACAATGAGCAGGCGGTTGTTAAGGTTCAAGCGACAGCATCGACAGTAGACTTGAAGAATCGAATCGTTCTCCCGGGCTTTATCGATGGCCATGTGCACATCCTCAATTTCGGCATGTCGCTGCAGAAACTTGACCTTCTGCCTTGCAAGAACCTCGCAGATATCCGAAATTCCATCACTTCTTATGCAAAAAGTCACCCATCGGATCCACGCATTCTGTGCCGAGGTTGGGTCCAGTCGGTTACGGATGGCAACGCTCTGGCAACAGTCTTAGACGACCTAGATCCGCGACCTATCTACATCGAGGCATTGGATCTCCACTCAACGTGGTGCAATACTGCCGCTCTCAAAGAGCTAGAGGCTGATTCAAAGCCCGACCCTCCAGGAGGAAAGATTCATCGCTGCCAAAATGATGCTCCATCTGGTTTACTCGAAGAGGCGGCGCAGTTCGACATCGTCTGGCCATTTTTAGACCGAGTCACATCCATGGAGAAGAAGGTGTCTGCGATTGATGCTGCGATCGGTGCACATCAACGTGCTGGGTATACTGGACTGGTGGATATGGCCATGGGAGAAAGTGAGTGGACTGCGTTGAATATCTACAGAAATCAACGTGGTGGGCTTCCAATTCATGTGGCGGCACACTGGTTAGTGCCCTACTCGAAATGTGATGCCGATATCTGCAGTCATATTGATCGTGCCATTGAGCTTCAACAAACCTTCAACCGCAAAAGCTCCCCGGATTTTTGTATCAACGGCATCAAGCTCCTCTGCGACGGCACAGTGGACGGATGTACAGCGGGACTACACCAGCCATACGGTGGATCTGCCGAGATCATCGATCCCATCTGGCCTGCCGATGCTCTTGCGGCAGCTATTCGCCGTGCCACTGATGCCGGCCTGCAGTGCGCTATTCATGCAATCGGGGATCGAACAGTGCAGCAGGCTATTGATTGTTTATCCCAAATTCCAAACCTGCGATCCCGTCGTCATCGCATCGAACATTTAGAGATAACAACCCCCGAAGATGCGAAAAGGCTCGGCCAACTCGGAATAGTGGCATCAGTCCAGCCCGTCCATTTAGACCCAGCGACATTTGACGGATGGCCGGAGATGCTTGGGATTCAGCGTTGCAAGCGGGCTTTCGCTTACCAAGAGTTTGTCGATGCCGGTGCTCATTTAGCCTTTGGGACCGATGCCCCTACTGCGGAACATCACGCACTGCCTAATATTTATGTTGCTACTACTCGGCGGTCGTCTATCAATCCCTCCTTGCAAGATACCATCAATCCCGAATTTGCCGTTTCCCTCGCGACCGCAGTCTCGGCAGCTACTGCGGGGGCTGCGTATGCGTCTTTTTCAGACTCGTGGACAGGGAGCCTACGTCCGGGATTCGATGCCAATTTTGTTGTGCTAGATATGATCTGGGACACGGAATCTCTTTTGGAAGCTCGGGTGTGCCAAACCTGGTACAAGGGAAAGAAGGTGTTTGATGAAGAGGCAGGTGACCGGTGATATGAGCTCTCCTTTTGAAGAACCACATTAGAAACGCGCTGAGAAAAAACAATGAGAAAACTTCCATTCTATGAAACTGAACTTTGGAAATGACTTTGTTTCAAAGTAATCTGCTTCCGCTACCATGAAGTCAAACCGCAGAAGCCAACCCTCTCTTGGTCGATTCTATAATATATTCGACTCAAGCACTTGCCTCCTCAATATGAATGACTGTGCTTGTCCCTTTTCCGTTTTCTCCAATCTTTTCCATTTCCAGATTTGTAGCAGTTGCAACATCTTCTCCATCAAAAATCTTTGTTATCTCCTCAAGAGGCATATAACGTGTCTCAACGTAAAAGAAATAGATGACAACCACTTCCACTGCCAAGAAGCAGCAGTAGAAGATGTAGTAGCGCCATTTTATATTGTCAAGGGCGATGGGATTGACATATTGATTGAAGAATAGCGCAATATACATGGCAAACTCCATGAGAGTATATCCTTTAGCACGCATTGAATACGGAAGAATCTCCGTAGTATAACTTGCAATTAGACCGGACCTAATTCAAGTTAGCGAGAACAATGACATGTGTACCAGGATAAACTCACTTCAGATTGTAGAAGAGATAATAAATGAAAATCATACCCAGCACTCCGGACCCAAGTGCTGAGCTCGCATGGTCAGAATATTTTGCTGACAGGATTGTCCACACCACAAAAGCGACCATCATTCCAGCAGAGCTGATAAGCATGATTGGTCGGCGTCCACATTTGTCAACAAAGAAGCTGAAGAAAAGGTTCGTGGCAAGATTAAAAGAAGTCAAGGCTCCATTAATCAGCAATTGCTGGTTCGGGTCTTTGATTCCGATGCTATCCATGATGAGGTTCAAATAGTATGATACCAAGCCATTGCCTGACCACTGAGCGAAAAGTCCAAAAGAGATAATGATGAGGAGTCGTTTGCGATTACCAGGAGTTCGCAGAAAATCGACGTAAGACCCTGAATGCTCTGCATTCTTCTCCATCGCAAGCGCAGTTGTAATTTCGGTGAACTCCACCTGAACGACCTCATCACTGTCATCCCCCTGAGCATGGTAATAAGCTAGCATTTTCAGGGCTTTTTCCGGTTCGTTTCTAGAGACATAATAGCGCGGACTCTCCGGGATCCACCACACAACTGCCAGCATAATCAATGTGAACACCCCTTGGATTAGGCTCGGTGTTCTCCAAGACCAATCGCTCTATTATCGTTACTGAAAGACCTGTGGAGCTTGACTAGATCACTTACTTTGATTTTTAGCGTTCCATATGTCGTCCATGCCGCGATAAAAGCCCCCGAGTGATATGTGGCGCCAGATATAGTAACCAGAATTGCCCTGTCTTGGGCCGGAGCAATCTCTGTAATAAGCAGTGGAGCGGTGCAAATGACGATGATGTCTCCAAATCCGAGAAGAAATCGAGCCCCGACAAACATGGAGAAGTTGATAGAACCTGACTGCAGAGCCACGCCAAGTAACATAAAAAAGGAGCCAAAGACTAAGCAAATCCTACGGCCCAGACGATCAAGCATATAAGGCAAAATGACCAAACCGGCCAGTGCACCAACACTCATGACACAGTTGAATAAACCCAGTGTTGGACCTTTGGGGTGGTCAAAATACTCCTGCCAATAAGACAATGCTTGCAAACCATTCCTAATTTCAATGAGAACGAAAGAGATAACGTAGGAGGCTAATAAAACTCACATCATGGAGTTATCAAATCCATTAGCGGTGTTTGTCGCGATTAGAACTAAAATGTAGAAGTACAGGACTCGCATATTGCGTTGTTTCCACCATTTCACGCGAGGGAATAGTCGCCCTGCTAAATAGAAATGACCCTTGGGAGGTTTGACCGTTTCATATGCTTCACTCATGTTGGGTTGACCTCAATTCAAAATAAAAACAAGATTTGTTGATATTGGAAAGAGGAGGGGGCGCACGATATATATAGTCCAATAAGACTCCATGTATACTACCTTGTCAATCATGGCTTAGTCTTAATATAACCGGTCGAATAAGTGCCTTCGTTTCAAAAGGCCTCGAATAAAATAGCCATCGAGTCATGTCACAACTAGAATTCATTTTCACCATTCATTCAGCCTAATAGGAAGATAAAATGCGGGGTGAGAGTGTTGGACATTCCTCGTTGATGCCGGTGGGTGACACGCCGTGTCCAAACCGGTTAAATTCTGGCGCCACATAAATTCTGACGATACGGACAATTCCTGTCTTCTCTCAAACAATTGCCAGAAGAACAAAAACATCACTCAACATGGCTGTTGCTCACCATAACCCGATTATCCCAGGATTTGCTCCCGATCCTTCAATCTGCCTGGTCGATGGCATATTCTATCTAGTGAACTCGAGCTTCAATCTCTATCCCGGACTGCCCATTTATATGTCAAATGACCTGATCTCATGGAAACACATTGGTAAGACATTTCTCTCTAAGTTTACCTATCAGAAGGTTAAAGATTTTAAGGAAATGCCATAAACAGACCATCCCAACTGTCACTGTCCCGAGCGACCACATTTATTGCCCCGTGGGACGATGGTACAGCAATGGTTGGAACCGGGGGCTTGTATGCGCCCACGATTCGGCATCACAACGGGATCACCTATATCATCTGTACCAACGTCATCCACGGTCCTTCTAATGTATTGGGCGATGAGCGAAATGAACAATTTATCATTCACACAACTGATATTCGCTCGGGAACTTGGTCAGACCCAATAGTCTTTGGATTTCCTGGGATTGACCCGTCTCTACTGTTTGACGACGATGGTCGGGTGTACGTCCAATTGTGCAAAACGGGGCCTGAGTTCCACATCTACAACGGTGAAATTGATATTACAACCGGTGCTATGATTGTGAAGCCCACTCTCATCTGGAAGGGATGGAAGAAGGGATATACAGAGGGCCCGCATATATACAAAAAAGATGGCTGGTACTACCTTTTGTGTGCCGAAGGGGGCACATTTCGATATCACATGCTGAGCATGGCACGATCGAGGAATATATGGGGTCCATATGAGTCATATGATATGAACCCGTTGTACACAGCTAGCGGCACGACTCAATATGTCCAAAACACTGGACACGGCGATCTTTTCCAAGATCAAAGCGGGCAATGGTGGGTGGTCATGCTGGGGATTCGCATTAAGGAGGGACGATCTATCATGGGACGGGAGACATTCTTGACAACGGTTGACTGGCCAAGCGACGGGTGGCCGGCGATTGAGTCTATCACAAGCGATGGGAAATTGGGGGCAAGTTTCAACGAAGGTCAAGACTCACTTGCTGCTGCCCCTTGGGTCTATTTGAGAGATGCCAAGCTAGATCGATACCGTATCCAGAACAGATGCATCACGCTGCAAGCAGACCCGGTGGAGTTTACTAGCCCGGATGAGTCAATAACTTTTGTTGGCCAGCGACAACGAAGACTCCAAGGCAATACCACCGTGACTGTGTACAAGCCACAGCAATCCACATCAGTTCGAGCAGGGTTGGCTCTCTACAAAGACGAGCACCGATTCTTGACAATTGGATATGATTTCCAGTTGCAGCAAGTCATTTTCAACGGACTGAACCAAGCGAAATCATTCTCGCAAAGTGAGACCCAAAGTGTGGAATTCCAAGGTTCAATGTCTTTCAGAATTGGCTACACCGAGACTTCCTTGCAATTCTTCTTCCGGCAAGGTAAAGCAAACTGGCGTAATTTGGCAACAGTTGACACCGCCATCCTGACGGATTACGACTTCACTGGGCCCGTTATTGGGATTTTTGCCATTGGGGATGATGTTGCGGTGGAATTTAGAGACTTTGCAGTTGATACGGTGTAGGGTCCATAAGAGAATAGATCAGAGAAGTATCAATAAGTTGTTGGGCTCATAATCTGATGGTTTCGTTGTTCTTTTCTATTCTAAATGCTTCCAGGCTTTAGTTTCTGCAAATCTTCTGCTGTCCAATCCGTGACTAGCATGTGACCAGGCTCATGGGCAAAGACCAGGCCTTCAATTGTATTACTTGCTGCTTCGACGGCAATTTGAGGTGTGACTCCACAGGCCTAGAATAAAATTAGATCAAAACATCCAAGTGATTATGTGTAAAAAAACCCCCAAATATGAAGGTAGTCATATGACTGTGTAGAACTTACCCAAAATACAGGAACTTCGCCCTCCTCGAATGTTTGCGGTTCTCCGAAGTCTGGCTTTGCCACATCAAGGATTCCCAGTTGCTTTGCACCATCCCATCCCCAGGCGACAGGCTCTCCATGTGTCGACAAATACACCCGAGTGATCTCCCTCACTTTCTCGATGTGCTCCGGACGATACGGCCGCATGGATACAATACATTGGCCGCCAGTAAATATTCCCGCGGGTAATAGGGGGATATTTGATCTGTACATTGCGACTATCGTACCAGTCTTTTGGTGACGCGGTGGCAACCCTGCCGCCGTTAGGGCATCCTCGAACGAGAATGAGCACCCGATTAAAAAGCCCACATGATCCTGAGTCCATACATCAGATAAGTCACGACGACTCTCAATACACTTTCCGCCCGAATATACTCGATATTTGGGGAAATCCGTCCGAATATCAAAATCTTTGGACCGAATACACTCTGCGGGTCGAACGGCACTTGGATCCCCAGGAACAACGGTCATTCCCAGTAGGGGACAAGGAACTGGGTTGCGCAAACACAAATCATGGAAATCTGCAGCATATTTTGATGGAAGTACCAGAAGATTTGCTTGTAAATATCCCGGCGCTACACCCGCAGTATTGGTGAGTTGATTGTAGCGACAGCGCAGTCTTGCCTCTTGCGAGATAATATTGTCCATGTCGTTCTTTCTTTTTCTTCTTTCTTTTTCTTTTTCTTTTTTTGGCAAGGTAACAAGGTAATATGTTAAATATCAATCATATCAATGTTTCCTGTTTTCCCTATCATATTAAATATATTAAAAATTATCGCTCAGAACGGAGTATAGATTATAGTATAGATTAGAGTATGGAGTATAGATTAAAATATTCCACCTTCCTATAAGATAACCTCGGTTATCAACCTTCGGGATCCACATACCGATGGTCTGGGGAAAAGGTTGGGGAAAACCCCACGACCCAGATAACAACCAGATGATAATCAGATGATAACCAGATAATAACTAGATAATAAGCTTCCAAGGTTGGAAGACCCTATCGACTTGCCTCTTTCAGTTAGGATCTGTTCGGATCATCGGGATTGGCTTGCATTAGCGCGAGATATCCCCTTGGATTCCCTTCTCATTAGCCAATGATGACCCTTTCCTACCTGCTTTGACCTTCTCAATTTCTGTCTCTTATTACCGTCATCGGCCCGATAGGCCCACTCACACTGGGCTTGTATGGCATGGAAGATACGAAGATAGGAGACCCCATTTCACGCATGTATGATCGGAAAACATTCTTTAAATGATGAGTTTTGGTTAATCATATCTCCATATTTTGCTGTCTACATAATCCATAGCAGCTATGTTAGACGATACCGTTCATGATACCCCCTTGGAGCTCAAGGACTCCCTGAAGAAAGAGGATGCCGAAGCAAACTATGCCATCGCCGGCGAGTCTTTGGATGTGGTGTTGGATCCAAAGAAAGAGGCAAAACTGCTCGCCAAGTTGGATGCGGCCTTTGTACCCATTATCATGTTGACCTATCTTACTTGTTTCCTGGACAGATCGAGTATCGGTAATTTCATTGAATCTTTGTGGCAAGAGCACGAGCTCACAAAAGTTTAGGAAATGTCAAGGTTGCCAATATGCCTGAGGATATCAATGCTTCCCCAGAACAGTTTTCGACCGCTGTCTCCATCTTTTATGTGACATATGTTCTTTTTGAGGCACCATGGGCCGTCATGATGAAGAAATTGACACCTCGCAACATCCTGACAGGGCTCTGCATCATTTGGTCTCTGACCACCATCTTCACCGGATTTATCGAGTCCGTTGGCTCCCTCTATGCGACTCGTCTTATCTTGGGTGCTTGCGAAGCTGGCCTATTCCCTTGTCTCAATCTCTACCTGACCATGGTCTATCGTCGAGAGGAGCAAGCCAAGCGCGTTTCCTACTTGATGAGTTGCGCTGCCATCTCCGGGGCTGTAGGTGGTCTCTTGGCCTACGGGCTCTTACAGATGGACGGAATTGGTGGCAAAGCAGGATGGAGGTACGCCTTTCTTTATCCTACTCAAAAAAGACCATTGCTTACAATATTTCCAGATGGGTCTATATCATTGAAGGCCTGTTCAGCATCATCTGTGGCCTCCTCATCTGGTTCGGCTTGCCAAATAACCCGGCCGAGGCCTACTTCCTCACCGAGGAGGAGAAATGGATGATGAGGGTACGCAACGAGCAGCGTCGCAAGTACATGGGAAGTGAAGAGTTTAGCTGGGAAGAGATGCGCATCGCAATCAGAGATCCCAAGCTTATGTTCAGCGGTGTCATCCAGTTCTGTCAGGATATTCTCTTGTATGGATTCAGCACCTTCCTGCCTACTATCTTGCGTGGCATGGGCTATAACTCCCTGATGAGCAATGTTTTAACCGTCCCAGTCTACGTCTGGGCTGCGGTGATCTTTATTGCAATTGCTTGGTGCTCAGACAGATACTCCAAATTTGCATCGGTGCGCATAAACTCATACAATCTTCAATGCATTGTTCCTCACTAACCTTTCACAGTACATATTCACAGCCAATCTCTTCGGTGTTGCCGGTTACATCATACTTCTCACGGTAGACAATACCGCCGTGCTATACTTTGCCACTTTCCTCATCGGCATCACCACCTACACATCCGTTGGTCTCAATGTCGCGTGGCTGAACGTGAATGTCGCCCCACAATACCGCCGTGCTCTCGCGATTGGTCTCCAGCAGACAATCGGCAACTGTGCTGGTATCGTTGCCGGCCAGATATATCGCACATCACCCTATGTGTTGGGTAACTCCTTCTCCTTGGGCTCCCTTGTGGTGGCCCAAGCCACAGTAACTGCATACGGTCTCTACTTGCGTCGAGAGAACAAGGTGAAGGAGCAAATTATTAGTGGTGAAAAGGAAGAGACTCGACGAGTGCAGACGGGTGATGGAGAGCTGGAATTCAAATATATCTACTAGATCAACGTTGATGTTGGCAAGGTATAGCCGGGAAGAAATAGAATCCCCGGAGCAATTCACACCTTGTTCTTTTCTCTCCGGACTGGAAGGTTCTCCCCAATATAGTACACGTTTCATTGTGATATCAGAAGCACAATAGAGCTCTTAATATAGTCACAAATCCGAAGACAGCCTTGGATATTGTCTTTATTAGCATCTGCCACCGATTTTGTTCATAATCAAAGATAAAACTACATGTAGTCGGCATATATTGTACTCAATCAGAAGAAGTCTTTCATCACACTCGACAATTCTTCGCCGTAATCAAACACAAACCCCCCGTCGGGCATCTGCTGGTAAGGTCCTCTGTCTGGCACAGGGCCCGTTCCCATCCCCATGATTTGATCCTCCAAACTTCCCACGGCTTCAAACCACTCCATCAACTCCTGTGTCATTTGTTCCCCGTTCTGTGGTGTCTGACTCTCTGGGATTGTAGATTGGGGCAATTGGGGAGACCCGTGGATATTTGAATGTTCGCTTTCAACACCCGCTTCGATATTCAGGCGCTTTTTCTGGACCCCAAGGCCCAATTGAGGACCAAGCTTACGGAGGCTTCGAATAGACTTCCATAGTCGGCGAGAAATATAAGACTGGGCTGAGACTCCTTTGACCAACTCCAAAGCCCAGTAAAATTCCTCCTTACACGACCCACTGAATTGTGTTGGAGCCTGGGCAACTGCCAGGAATAAAGCTGCAAGGGCCGAGACGAGAAACCAATTAAATGCCACCTGCTGTAAATGGTAGATGTCCGATGTATCGTTCAAGCGGGTAATGAAACGAATTGTATCTTTGGCGATTTCCACCACAGTCTCAGACTCGCCTGGATATTGGTTGACATGGGCTGAAGTATGAAGAACAGGGCGATGGATTAGCATGCGTAGCTGATTAGCACGAAGGTACAGGAGAGCACGCAGTCTGCGTAGGCTCCGTGTTCCTTCCACGGCAGTCCCAGACTCCGCCGAGCTCGGATTATCAAGCCGCAATGAGTCTGGAATGGCATGCACCCAGCGCAAAACCTGCCAATCCAAATAGTTCATTTCTTCCTTTTTGATTTCGTTGGTGTTATTAAACGCCGCTATGAACTTCCACACCTTCGCTGCGATCCGGCTGTACCTGATCATCACGCGCAGATAGGGTGTATTCTCGGTGGGCTCTGGCAGCCAAGGGTCAATATCTGTATCTTCCAGGGCAAACGGCATGCCAGTTCCAAAGCTCCAGCGCATATCCAGAATGTATATAGACCAGAAGAGTCGCAAAACGCGATCCTTCCCCACAGCTATGATGGTCGGTTGATTCAGGGTTTCCCGTCGATGAAGACCTTTCTCGAGACACATGCGCTCAACAATACCAACGGTGCGCCACGCCAAAATTTCCTCGTCCATTTGAAAATAGAACATTGACTATGGGTGCAATTAGCATGTCGAGCATTCATGACTGATTAGACATGACGAACCACAAGAGTCAAAAATATGATGTTCTTGATTTCGGGCGAACCCCAGACACAATTGTCCTGAACTTCTCGTACACTATCAAAGAGAGCAATAGCCTGTTCACTCAGACCACTAGCTTCGGCTGTCAAGGCACATGCAAACACTACACGTAGAATATGGATATCTTCGCGAGCTAGCCCATTGTGTCCATTGGGCTGGTGGGTTGGTCCAAGCGCGCGGTCCATTGGGCCATAGAGAAGATGAACCTGTTCTAAAATCTCCGACAGTTCCAGAACCGGGTACATGATGCCCATTTCCTCCTCGTAGACTTGGCAAAGGCGAAGTGCCTCAGCTTTGGGGAGAGTCCAAAGTGGATCGAGGGTCTGGCGTGTTTCAAGTTTCTCATTTGGAGCCGATGGCGATGCCAGTGGTGAGGGTTCTTGGGTCATATCGCGCTCATCGCCAGCTTCAACACGTTCCACAATCCCGCGCTGCTGCAGACTGGATTTTGCAAGGTCGAAACTAAAGGCTGATGTTGTTGGACCTTGAAATGACATCTCTCTCGCTGTTGACAGGTGCCTGAGTGAACGTTGGATAGGGAGCTGTCCATAGGTGCCGGTAGTAGAAACACCTCCAGGGGAATGTTCGCCGTTAGCTATTGACCTTATACTAGCAGACAATTGGGTAATCTGATCCTGCATGGCCCTCATTTGGTCAAAAAGTAGCTTGAAATTCCTTTAACGGCAAAATTAGTCGTGTTCAAACACACCGAGCCGGGGTAGGCATTACTCTTGTTCGGCTGGACTTTGTGGAGTGTTCTCAACGTAAATGCATTCAATATCCTGACGTCCGCAACGCTGACAGGGTGACTGGCCATTGCATTTGATTTTGCGACGTTTACATCCATTGCTTCACGATTTCATTAGCACTCGATCTCGAATAACATCATTTCCAAACTGACCAGGCTTTGGCGATGTATTTGCGGCGTTTCTTCCGTGGGTGATCATCATTCGTATCGTCCACCGAGGGTGGGTATATCTGCAGAGTACTCATCATCCAAAATGGTGCAATTAAGTGTGCTCATATATCATTTCAACTCGATGGAAGAGGGTGAAAAGGAAAAAAAGTGTGGCGCCGAGAAAATGCGGGGAGATTCCGTCAGGCCACAAGGCTCGGGGAGTTTATACATAAAGAAGACGTGACAGGTAAAATGTACAATAATTCAGGAGCTCAGTCTAAGAACAAATATTAGTAGACACCTCCATAGTTCTACTATATTCTCCAATTATCTCTCAAAATTTTATTGATTCATGTTCCCAAAGGCCTACGGAGAGGCCCAAGTCGGCGATTATAAAGGTCTAGCTGGTCTATAAATGTACTTCATTGTCTGTATTTTCAAATATTTTAGTAGATACATCAATTACTTTGGGCAAATAGAGGGAATCACATCAGATAGAACTTCGAAAATCCAAGACACTCTCCTCTTATAGATCCTTGGTGCGTTCATCACTCTCAGCGATCCACTGTTCGAGCTTCTTAGAGTCGCGTGCACTAAAACCGACTTTGAATGGCTTCGGCTCCGTTGTCAAGGCAGTTGCAATCGAGTTGCACTCAATTGCGTTAAGAATTGGTCGGTCGGCTGCCTCTTTCGCCGTGTGCATGTGGAAAGCAGTGATGAGGCGAATGAAAGCTGTAAACAGCTCACGATTGGCGAGATGTGAGCCTGCACACATACGTGAGCCCGCTCCATATGCGTAGTGGGGAGTGCCTGCACCCTCATTGACATCTAAATAACGCTCCGGGATGAACTTATCAGCATCCTTAAAGTGATCTTCGTCGTAATCGGCTGCCCAAGCATTCTGGAGGCCCTGTTAGTAAAGTCTGAATACGATAGAAGCAAGGAGCAACATACCATGAAGAAAGTCGTGCCAGCAGGGATTGTGGCTCCATTCCACTGGATATCCTTAGTGCTCTCGCGTGGCAGACAAATAGGAATAACTGTCCAGAAACGCAAGATCTCTTTGACCAGTGCAGTCACATAGGGGACCTTTTCCTCCACCAAGCATTTCTCCCAAGCATCCCCGTCCGGGTAGATCTCCATTATCGCATCATAGGCCTTTTTCTGAATTCTCTGGCCGTCTTCAGATGCCAGGTAGGCAATTCCCATAATCAAGTTACCCGGAACAGTGTCAAGACCAGCCGACACCATAGTCAAACAAATCGATTTCACTTCGGCTAGACAACAGATAAGTACTCACTTGAACATTCAAGAGGATCATTTGTAACTCACCATCATTCAGCTTAGCCTCGGGATCCTTCAAGATATTACCAGTGATGCAAGGCTTATCAGTTCCCTTGGCGATCCTATCCTTGAGCATATCAAGCAAGTAGGTCAGATATTTATCACGGCGACCCCGGAAGTCTGCGGCCTCATTGTTCATCTTGGGGAGGATGCGCAATAGGGGAATGTAATCCTGCCAGTTGTTCGAAGTGCTGCGGAAGTTGGACACGCCACGTTCCACGTCCACAATCTCGTGCAGCAGCGTATCATCCACGTTGCCCTCGATGCGGAACCCATAGTTCAGAGTCAAGCTGGTGTTGAGGGCAAATCGCTGGAAGTATGCAGTGGGATTCACGTCATTTTTACCGTTCTGGCTGTCCCGATACAGCTCCTTAATGCTCGAATTGGATTCGAGATCGATGATGGGCATATACGATTGCACCGCCGGTCGATTCAACGCAGTGGCAGCTGCCTTGCGACGTTTCTTGCAAGAATCATCCCACGGGGAAGTTCCAATAGTGAACCCCTGTGAGCTGGAGACGACGCTGTGGAAGGTGTGAAAAGTCGGGCGGGAAATAAGAGCGGACGAGTCCTTAATCCACAATTGACGAACGGATTCAAAGCTGTTGGCGAACACGATTCGCTACCAAGGCATTAGATTATAAATTCTGCACATAGTCGCTTCCAATTCGAACGCGAAACACTTACCTTGTTTCCCATGCGCACTTGAAAAACTGGGCCAAATTTCTTTGCCCAGTTCCCCGTGACTGTTGCATGCTGATCTCCTAACTGCAATAGGTTGCCAAAGATGGGTATGCCAGGGATCTCCGGGATGCCTTTAATCTTGGGCATATCGGTGCGGTTGAAATAACGAATGATGAAATACACCACCGTAATGACGGCGACTGCAAGGGTTTGGATTGCCATGATAGAGTGAAATTGACAAGAATTGCAGACTCTCTTGACCTGTGGAAGACGGCGGATGCATGGCTCTTATAGCCCTGTGCATTTTCAGGGTCCTGTTTGGCTCGGCTACGGCATATTTCCGAGTTCAAAGACTCGCATGGCTATGGAAAGAAAGCTGTAGGTGAGCAGTCACATAGCACTCCGTCAGCCAGTCATAATTGATAGAATCAGCAAATGCAGTTTTCCACAGGTCACTCAACCACTTGCCAGTCCGGGGGCAAGATGTCTCCACAGCGCGGCATAGACGGAATGTTCATTCCGCACCCCCTTGTCAACGGGTTTCCCCGCGGAACAATGAGACTTCAATAACCGCTAATAACCGCTAATAGTGGAAAGTCCGTTTGTATTTCCTTTCAAGTGACATCATGTGGTCAAATTTAGAGGGGTAAGCGTGAGGGGTGTACTAGCTATATAGTTATATCGTGTTTCAACTGTTAGGCCTTTGCAACATTTTATTGCTCCATGCTAACAGACGCTTTAGGAAGATTTGGAGTTTGTTCCAAGTCATAATCCATCGAATAACTGATTGTCTCCTCTCCTATAGTTTCATCCTCTACAATTCCCCGACGTCGCTGCCAACTGCGCTCTATATTCGCGACACCCTCGGCCACTATGCCACTTTAAGCAAGTCCGACTTGAGCCTCAATATATATAGATGAATACATAAATATGTACGTAGGGGTGGCATTAGCCGTAATTATAGAATATTTAGATTATTATATATCCATATCTGATATAGATAAACCGAGGTATTCTATGTAAAACAATAGGTTTATATATTGACACCTAATCACCAAGGCATAAATCAGGTGACCATACGCGTCGGTCTAACTCTCTGTACAATATAAGCTGCACTTTTTCACCTTGCTGTACGCAGAATTGATGTCTTCTCAACCATTTCTTCCGCTTTCCTCCCCTCCAGCGTCGCCTTCGCCTATTCTACGTCCGCGACGTCCAAGCCTGGAACCAGAGCGTGAAATCCTTTCCACTAGAGGCCAACGCTTATTGAATCTTTTACCTTCTCGCTCATCCAGCCTTGCCTTACATGACCTCGATGACGATACATCTGAAAGGCGACTCGTTCTTCGACGAGGATCGTTGTTGATTGGACGCAGTAATCCACGATATGAATGGTACTACTATATCTCTCTCTCTTCTGACGCAATTACAGTCCTAACCCGCGCCGCAGGCAACGCTACTACAAATCACCCGAGTCATTAAAAGACCTCCCAAAGGCAATGTTGGTTCACTACTCAATTTAAATGATAGGAACTGACCCCCAAAATAGTCGGAAATATCATGAACGAAACAATGGACTGATCTCCCAATATCTTTACATTGACCGACTATTGGACTCTTCGCTACCCCATAACCTAATCGAAGACTATAACGGATGCAATCACCACGCTTCTGGAAACGGAATTCTTCAGTCCCCTTCGCTAGAAGCTAATCAGGCTGAGGTATCAGAACCTAATCCAAAGATCGGAAGGATCAAACGCACCCCGCATAATCTTTATCGGATCCCCGATGAGACAACACCCTTGTTCCAATCCCCGGAGGCAGAAGACAGCCCATTGGATCCATTCCCTGATCTTGAATCGCACGGCGGAATGTCCCCAGACGATGAGGAGCGTGTCATCAATCTAGCCATTCGCATCAATTTCGTCGCCAACGTTGCTCTCCTAGCCTCGAAGATCGCGATCATGGCGATGACTAGCTCCATGTCTATGTTGGCAGGTTTAGTGGATGGAGTTTTGGACTTTCTCAGCACAGTGATTGTCTGGATAACCACCATTATGATCCGCCGACAAGATCGCAACCGGTATCCCATCAGCCGACGGCGGTTAGAGCCCATCAGTGTGTTGATCTTCTCGGTGATCATGGTAACTTCCTTTTTCCAAGTAGCACTGTCTTCTATGAAACAATTGATTGGAGACGACCGCACGGTTGTTGAGCTATCCATCCCATCCATCACCTTGATGGGTGGGACTGTTTTGGTTAAGCTGCTCTGCTGGATCTGGTGCAGGTTGATTCCTAGCCCAAGCGTCCAGGTCTTGGCCCAGGACGCCATGACTGACGTTGTTTTCAACACGTTCAGCATCATCTTCCCCCTAAGTAAGTCTTATTCCTGTTCGCTACTAGTGCACCAACTAACGGGCAACGATCGCAGTCGGCACTGCTGCAAATCTCTGGTACTTAGATCCCTTGGGTGGTCTGCTTCTCTCCATCTACATTATGTGGAACTGGGGTCAGACGGCTGCAGAATACATCCAGCGGTTGACAGGCGCAGCTGCCTCTCCCGACGATCATAGTATCTTGCTGTATATGACCATGCGGTTCTCTCGGGTGATTCACAAGATCCAGGACTTGAAAGCCTACTACGCCAGTGACAAGCTGAACGTTGAGGTTGATCTTGTTGTGGATGAGAAGATCAGTTTGCGGGATAGTCATGACGTTGGCGAGAGTTTGCAGTACATCATCGAGAGTGTCCCTACTGTCGACCGTGCCTTTGTGCATCTAGACTATGACGAGTGGAACCTGCCCAGCCATATGAACCAGATGGACCGGTAACACATGCCTGGTGAGGGCACCAAGCTAGTTTTTATCATTGTAGATATTACGTTGGTACTACAAAACTTGTACAGATTCATGACATCCAAGGTTTGACACATAAAATCATTCATCTAGTTATACATATAAACCATGATCAAATGAATACCCTCACTGGCAAAGACGCCAGGACGCTAAACAAGAGAGAAAAAAACACAAAGACGACAAATTAATGTACAACCGAACCCATTACGGTCTTACACTCCACATGAAGTTCATTCAAATCAACCCATGGGACCCTAGCGAGGCGGTTGCGAAGGCGGCGGTAGTCCGCCTTGAGCTGACCCATGGCTGTAGACACGCTGGTGTGTCGGCGTGGAGACAGTGTCACCAAGCGACCCTGAAGGTCGTTGGTGGAGTGGCGGTATCGATCCAGACGCGGATGACTGAGGAGGGTGATAGCTGCCCATAGTGCCGCCGCTCATAGAGGGGTGTAGAGCCGATGGAGGAGTGAATGAGCGACCGAGGCTCGCCAGCGATGCCATTGACCGGCCAGCCTGTGGCTGGGGAGGAGGGGTGTTGTGCCCGTACTGCGAAGAAGCACCGGGTAAGTTGACAGGTGTTGAGCGGTGGGATTGCGGCTGATGCGATCCACTGACCATTGTTTGCACATGTTGTTGATAGCTGTGTGGCTGTACTGAATTTGGCGTTGCGGACTGGCGCGGATGCATACCATACAGGCTAGCCGAAGACTGCGCTGGCGTTGGTGGATCTTGTCGCGATGCATACGCCATGCTAGAACGCGGGCCAGGTGACCCTTGTCGATAGGAGGCCGGTTGCGAGGCCATATCTCGGGGGCCAGAAGCCATGGGTTGTTGAGTAGAGGAGGCTTGCGAGAAAACGTTGGGATAAGCTGAGCGTTGGGAGGCATTTGTTGGCGGGGGAGTCGGCGCTGGGGATGGCGCGGGAAGATTCGTCAAGGAAGATTGACTCGGGGTTGCTGCGTAAGATGAATAGGAACCCTGACGGCCGCTTTGCTGCTGCTGCTGCTGCTGCTGCTGCTGTGGTGGCAGTGATTGAGCTTGAGGCTGCGGTGGAGTTTGTTGCGCCCGTGGATCAAACCGTGCCATCCAGTCATTATTCGCCGACGTGCCCGAGCCACCATGAGGGGGTCCATAGCCAGGATACTCCGAGTACCCGCGAGATGATGGCTGATATTGGCTTTGCTGGGCGTAACCAGAAGGCTTTTGCGGCATACCTGACATAATAGAGTCTTCATGGCGAGAGGGTCCGCCCGCCTGGTATACAGGCCTTGGGTTTATGCCTGTGGTTGCGCCGGGTGCAGATGGAGCCTGCTCGCTGGCAAATCGTTTGCGGGGCTGAGGCTCTTCGGGTTCATCATTGAGGATGCTCATGATGTTGGACCGTTTGGCAGGCACCTGACGAGTTGCGTCGGGGGCAGGAGTAGCACTCGGGCGAGGGACATCCTTCACTGGCGACAAACCAGGGCGAGGCGATTGGGCTAGACCCATGGGTTGACCTGCGAGCGAGTAATAGGGTCTTTGGGCAAAGGGGTCGCGATGAACAGACGAGATGTCGGCTTCTGGTCTAAGCTGCTGGGTTGGCGAGCCAGGGGGTTGTGTTAAGCTGGGATGACGTGAGTGGGTCGATGAAAGGAGAGAAGTTTGCTGCTGTGCGGGCATATAGGCCTGTGCGGATAATGGTTCCATTCGTGCCATATCCGGTGGTATCGGGCCAGAATGGCGCGAAGACATCGGTAGATCTTGCGCAAGAGAAGTGGCGTGGGGCAATGCCGAAGAGTCTCGCCTATCCTCTGTAAAATACCCAAGGCGCGGGCCCTGAATGCGGTGGGATGGTCCCCCTTGGGCGCGAATTGCCCGAGTGGACTCTTCGATTAGAGTTGCGGTAGAGGGTACTGGTGAAGCAGCGGAAGCTTGCGCGAGTGGCTGGTAACGACCGACATTCCGGTCCTTGTCAGACGGAGGTCGTCCATGCAGGGACATGGGCTGCGGCGAGAGACCAACAGGTTTGCCTTTAGGGAATCGTATTTCATCGACCTCGGCCATAGGATCCCCATGTGGGGCAAGTGGACGAGGGATAATAGACGACGGAGTTGCCTCGTATCGTCGCTTTGGTGCAACACTTGGAACAGGAAGCGGCCCTGTGGCCTCACCCCGAGCCTTCTTCTCCTCTGCATCTGTTAGTATCGACTCAAAGTCTTTCTGGCCCGAGTCCAGGCGGCGTTGATAGAAGTTTTTGACCTGCATCATGGACGTTAGCCGGCTAGTCGATAAATATAAACATGAGATGAAAGGACCCAATACATACCATCACCGTTGTCTTGGTCTTCATCCAGGCCGAGATACCCTCAAAATCACGACCAAAATGCCCCAGCAAAGCTGGGAAGTCGCGCTGCTCCGGTACAGACCAGTAACTCGTTGGTTGCAAGGAGCCATACCCCGTCTCAAGCTGTTTTGTTGCCAGAGGCGGTTCAACTTCAGTAGACTCAAAGACATAAACTCCTTCTTTCGCTCGCCCGCGTCCCACCCTGCCTCGCGGAATTGGCGGCAAGGATTCTTTTTCGGAACGCTCTCGTTCTCTAGCCTCATACCCTTCCAAGATGTGATCTGTGGCCACTTCCATCTCGCTTCCAGGATGAAGTGGTGCTGGCGGTACGATTGGGGGCAGATTTCCCTGTGGAATTGTTACCTGGGCCTTCGAGTCCGGTTGAGTAGCAGTCTTGACACGCCGTCCACCGCGAGTACCTCCGCCCCGTCCGCCACGCCGAGTCGATGATCTTTCAACTGGTTCGCCGTCCTTGCCAAGCTGGCCCCGACGGCCAACCGGCGCGCTTTCTACCTCAGTGGAATCACCAAAGGTGGGCGCGGCCGCACGTCGTGGACGACCAGTGTCTGTGACAGCTGGTGGCTCATCCTCGCCAACAAAGTCAGGTTTCACCACACCCAAGTCTGCGATGAGGGCGTTGGACTTCGGCCGTGGACCCTTTCGAGTCCCCTTGCCCCGCTTACTCCAGCGTTTGTTGAGCTTGGCTTTGTACTTGATCTCCTCCTTGGTGAGATAATAGTGTACTATACAGTGCTGGAAATTTCGACCGGGCAAGGATTCGGCAATCTTACCCCACCGTTTTGGATGGGCCATGAAGGCGTCCGTAAATGTTATATGCTCCTCCGGGGTGAAGTCATTAGGGGGCGGCACAAAGCCAAAAACATCCAGAGCCCTACTACACTCAATGGTGTTGTTCACATCTTTGTAGATGCGAGCCTTTGCCTCCCGCGGTTCGAGCATATTGGGAATGATCGCTTCACGGCCCAAATCAGGTCGAGCAGTAGCCATCTTGATTCGTCGACGTTCAAGCTCTTCTTGGGCAGAAATTTCTGAGGCCTTCAAAGCATTGAGAAAATCAAGCTCGCTATTCCCTTTGTACCGACGGCCTTCACGGCCTTCCGGTATGGGTGCCGGGGTAGTTGGAACCGTAGACACTGGAGGAGAAGCTGGACCAGGGGTCACGGACTTTTTGTCCTTCATACGATCGAGCTCCCAAATGGCCATTCGCCAGAGCTTGTAGTGAGATACGTACTCATCCCTAAGGAGTGCATTTTTCCTGAAAACCTCCGCTTGCACCTTTGAAAGTTCTGTCCTGAACGTGTCTCTGAGGCTCTTTTGGGTTGCAATGTTCTCATGGTATACATCCATGTCTGAAATCGGTGTTGGAGGACCTAAGTGCAAGAATGGAAGACTTTCGACAGTAACCTCATCAGCAGGTACCACGGGGGGGATGACAGTTTCTGCGATTGGCTCTGGTTCACGCTCGGGTAGTGTGGAGGCAAAAGAGACCACTCGTTCAGTGCTTGGATGATTGGCTGACTCTTCATCCTCCACCGAAGGCAAAGGATCCACTGGTCGTTCTAAAACTTGTTCGGCAAGTGGTTCAGGGGAACGTCCAACTGTCTGTTCGTTGGCTACCATGCCAAGTAGCTGGACTTTAAGCAAAAGAGCGACGATGGCTGAATCTTCCAAAGGCAATGGAGGCAATTCTGCTCGGAGTGACTCCATATCCTTTTCAAATATCTGCTTTCTTTCATCCAAATACTCCTGAGTGAAAACAATGTTCTCCCCATCTTCCTCGTCACTTGAACCTTGAAAGTCTGGTATCAAGGCGGTTTTACCAGTGCTGGTCTGCTCAGAGGGTTCATTAACATCGCTTGTTTGAATGTCGACAGCCGATAAACTACGGCGGAGTGGAGGGTTCAATGATGGGAAAATAGGCGAGGGTTCCCTTAGAGGTTCATTGGGCAGAATCTCGCCACTCTCAGGCTCGTCTACTTCGTGTGGTAATAGAGACCGCGTGGCTTCATTGGCAGGGGAAACACCTTCGCTGTCATCGATAGGCTCTTGTTTTGGTAGCGCATTAGGAATAGAAGGTGTTCGGCCGTAGCCAGGTCGCACCCATTGCTTGCTGCCTTTACGGCCACGAGGGGAGGGAGCTTTCCATTGGAATGCTCGAGGGCCGGTTGGAATGCCAGACGATTGCATTCGAGGCGACATCGAGGGCTCACGGGATAATGCGCGTGGGGCAGGCGGTGGAATTCGTGAAAAAGTAGGGGAAGAGGTAAGTGAGTTCGACCTGCCGACCCCAAACCCTTCGTTGGGTCCAACCCCCGAATCTGGTCGAGTCATGGCAGCTGGAGCGGTGGGTGGTGATACATCAGAGAAATTGATAGACGGTTTAGAGAGCCGAGGAGGCGCAACTTGCTGCTTGCCCGCCTCCCGGGATCCTTCGAGGCGGCTGCGAGGCTCAAGAGGCTGTGTAATCTCAGTCCTTTCTGCCTTGGGTCCTGTAGGAGGTTGGGGTGTTTGTCGTTGGAGGATTTCATAGCGGTCTCTCTCTGTGGGGAAAGTAGAAATGGGCGTCGTGCGTTGGTCTGAGGAATCTTTATTTGAGGAAGCATCCGCGATGGGGGCAGTCACCGAGCCAAAGGCGGGCACCTGGGGGGCAGCTTGAGGCGGTGAGTTCCGAATCATAGGTCCAGGGTTCTTCGCAGCATCCATCCCAATAGCATCCGGTTGAGGGTCCGGTGGAACACGATCGGGGAAATTCGCATCCAGCCCAGGAGCATCCACTTGGGGAGCATCTGGGCGAACAGCATCTGGGGGAACAACATCAGAGCGAACAGCATCAGAGCGAACAGCATCAGAGCGAACAGCATCAGAGCGAACAGCATCAGAGCGAACAGCATCTGGGCGAACAGCATCAGGGCGAACAGCATCCGGGCGAACGGCACTAGCTCGAACAGCGACAGGGTCGTTTCGCTCAAAATCTCGCGTAGGTTCCAGAGCCGCAGTGCTAGGAATGGTTGAAGATTTCCGACCATGATCCACTTGGGAATGTTCAAACAAGCGATCTGCTAGGGCTGGTCCAGGTCCAGGGCCGGATGCTGTAGGAGGATGTGAGGAAGTGGTTGAGCCGCTGGCTGCGCGGCTATCTGCACGACTTGGGGGGCGGTCTCGTTTCCAAAAGTCCACGGGGCGATCACGGTCCTCGCGATCAGGTCGTCGGTTGTCCCAATCTTCTCGACGGTCAAAGCGATCTCGACGGTCTAAGTCGCGATCTAATTCTCGATCTCGATCTCTTGGACGTGGAAGGTCTCGGTCACGATCTCGGTCCATCATCCGATCGCGATCTAATACACGATCCCGGTCCATGTCTCGATCTCTATCGCGATCCATCATCCGATCACGTCCACGCCACGGTTCGCGAGATCGACTACGGCGACGGAAAAGATCACGATCATCGAGGAATGGTGGACGACCACGACCGCGGCCTCCTTCCCAATCTCCGCGACCACGCCCTCGCATGCCTCCTCGGTGTATATGGCCACCATTAGGAGGGGGACCTTCTGGCCCTCCCGAAGACGCGGATATGATACTGTCCCTCGAGTTGCGTCGCATCCGAGCCAGATCAAAATCGCGGCCAGGGGGCTCCCTTATATCTCGAAAGTCGCGCGTCGGTGATCTTGAGCGGCCTCGGCCAAAGCCAATCCGATTGTCTCGGGGATCGAAATCGCGGTCACGGCGAACCCAGTCGCGGTCCATATCTCGGCGAAACGGCGGGCCATCACGGTTATCTCGAAATTCGCGATCTCGGTCGCGGTCTCGTGGGTCTCGGTCACGGTCACGAAAGTCACCACGGCCATAACCCCTGCCACGACCACCAAAATGGCCACCCCGAGGGGAATCAACAAGGGCCCGAGGACCACGCGGTGGATCTCTACCAAATGGTGCAGGTCCGTCGTCAGGACCGCGAGGACCGACCGGGGGGCGACGGTCTCCAAATCGCTGCGGAGAACGGTCACGGGAATTGAACCCAGACGATGGGGGGAATCGGGAGGACATTATCGCGTCATGCTATCATGAAGCTATAGACTGGTTAGCGCTCCAGCACATTCAACGTACGGTGCAAATGAGCCCAAGGTGGATGGAATGCAGAATCCATCACATACCCAAAGATGGAGAACGGACACTCGGGAGGGTCTGCACGTGACAATCAATGCACGGACCATATGAAGAATTGAAGAGCACGGATACCCGATCGGGTAAGGCGTAGTCTTTTTCAAGTCGGGAGTGGAAAGATCCAATATCACGTTATTCTCCTTTCTCTTTCTTTTTTTCTCGGTTGCTAGATTTGGAGTCTTGTTAGATCAGAGCGAATGGACCATTCCAGTAGACAGACTGACAGATTCGTTGAGATGAGGAGATGGAACGTGTCAAACAGAAAACACTAGCACGTTACAAGATCGGCGAAATCATGCGAGCTCCTTGCGCCGGATGTTATGCAACACGAGAGAAATATGGAGAGAGGAATGAATAAAGGAAAGAAGAATAAGAAATGGAGGAATATTGTTAGGAATATTGTTAGGAATATGTTTGGAATATGAGTTCGTGAGACTTCAAGGGGCTCGACACTAACCCAATTGAATGCTAGTGTGGTGGGGATGTGCCTCCCAAACTCTATTCATATTGAACAGCCCTGGAGGTATATGCTGTACGGAGTAGTATATACCAAGGTAAATGTTGTATCGAGAAGTAGATAAAATCAATGATAATTTAGAACAGTAGGATAGTAAAGCAGTAGAATATGAGAATATGAGAAATACAAGGTCAATATTATACGAGATACTTTGATCATTCAAGCCTACGCCAAAGTGGGAGTGGGACTATAAAGAGAAATATGCCTTAGGCATTCAGGCATCAAGGCATCAAGGCCCAGATGCAGTTCCCCGCCGAATAAAAAAAGAAAAAAAAAGAAGAAAAAAAAAGATCAACTGCCCCTCTCTTTCTCCGCCGTACAAATCAAATCCTCTGTTTTTATTTTGACCTCTTTTTTTTGTCTCCTCATATCGATACATTGTCACCGGATTTCTTTACACCTTTTACAACTCCTTCTTTTCTTTTCTTTCCCTCCCCCAATCTCATCGCAAATATGAGCGCCCAGCAGCCTTCAGCGGTTCCCTCCTCGGTGACCGACTCCGTCCTCCAGAGCTCACAACCGGTCCCAGAGGGATCTCATGTGGTGAGCGGGGTAGATTTTGATAAGTTCCAGGGACGAGATATCACCGTTGCAGAGATGGTGGACAACTTAGCCTATACCGGATTCCAGGGCAGTGCGGTCGCGGAGGCTGCTCAAATCATCAATGAAATGGTACGCCTGAACATAATTGCACCCTTTGAAGAATCTTTGAATCCTCAGAATCTTATGATCTATTTCCCTTAGCGCGCCTTCCGTGATCCCGAAACAGGAAACAAAACCACAATCTTCCTCGGCTACACATCGAACTTGATTTCCTCCGGTCTTCGGGACACCCTACGTTATTTGGTGAAGCATAACCACGTATCTGCCATTGTGACCACTGCTGGAGGTGTGGAGGAGGATTTGATCAAATGCTTGGCCCCCACATATCTCGGATCCTTCTCGACTCCCGGTGCTGGACTTCGTGCCAAGGGCCTCAACCGCATTGGCAACCTTCTCGTGCCTAACAATAACTACTGTGCCTTTGAGGATTGGGTGGTGCCCATTTTAGACAAGATGTTGGAGGAGCAGGAGGCTGCAAAGATCAAGGCTCGGGAGACTGGGGACGAAGAAGATGAGCTTCACTGGACGCCAAGCCGCATCACCGAACGACTGGGTCGTGAGATCGACCACGAGGATTCAGTTCTGTACTGGGCGGCCCGGAATGGAATCCCCGTATTCTGTCCCGCCCTGACAGATGGATCTCTGGGTGACATGCTTTACTTTCACACCTTCAAATCTTCCCCGCAACGACTGCGGGTGGATATTGTAGATGATGTGCGCCGTATCAACACCATGGCTGTCCGGGCGACACGCGCCGGCATGATCATTTTGGGTGGTGGGGTGGTCAAGCACCACATTGCCAATGCATGCCTGATGCGCAATGGGGCCGAGCACGCGGTATACGTGAATACTGCGCAGGAGTTCGATGGGAGTGATGCGGGTGCGCGGCCGGATGAAGCGGTGAGCTGGGGCAAGATCAAGGCGGATGCCAAGTCTGTCAAGGTTAGTTGATCTATGTTGTATTCTTCCATTTCTATCTCCTTGAGCCGAGCTAACTTTCATGCTTTCTTTTTCTAGGTCTATGCTGAGGCCACGGCGGTATTCCCTATGATTGTGGCTGCTTCATTTGCTCGTGCCGGATCGACACAAAATTGATTCTACTTTTTATCTCTCGTCGAGTCTCGGTACGACGGAACTTAATTGCCAAGCGATGCGGGAACCCGCGGTCTAGAAATAAGTTCTTTTTTCAAAGAGCCAATCATTGCCACTTTCCGTCGAAAAGTGGTCCGTTTTTTGAGTCAATCAAGGGCCTTTGATCGCGCAATTGTTTCAAATTGGGATTGGCCCCCGTACATTTACAGTACAATCTGGTGGGTCTCTGTACAAGAGGTATAGGTACGTTGATCGGCCTGATACGCCTAACTATATGCCTTTTGTGCCTGATATGCCTGATATGCCTGAAAACAGAACCGTTTTCCGAGGCCCCCGATAATCCAGGGATCAAAAGGCCCAGTGGCAAAAGGGGAGAAATTCGATAAGCCGAGTCGCCACCCGTGGACCAAATGTTCCAAAATCGGCATTCCCAAGGTTAAGGATATTCTCCCCTGAGTGGGGAATCGGGATCGGCACACCGCTAGACTTGAGAAGTACGTATAATATAGATGTATAGGTCGAATATTAGAATATACCTACGGAGTACGGAGTAGATATATAAAGGGGTACCCTAAGTACATGCATATATGTCCGGTAGGTACGGAGTACCTAGATACATGTATGTAGTAAATCCTAACTCACTACTCCGTAAGCCCTGGACCATCTGTCTATACAAAAGACCCACTCGCCCCGGACTCGTCTTTTTTTTTTTTCCTTCTTTTCTTTTTTTTTTCTTATCTTTTTCTATTTTTTTCTATTTTTTTTCTTTTCTTTTTCGTTTTCTTTTTCGATTTCCTTTCTTCCTCCGACTTTTGTTCTTCTCTTCTTCTTTTCTTCTTCTTCTCTTCCCTTAATTTGTTCGTTTTCTCTTCCTTTCTCCCCTCCCGGACCCCTTCTCTCCACCATCTCCACAACCTTCTTCTTATCCGATAAGCCCTTATCAATCTTTACATTAGGAGTATACCTACGCCTTATATATTGGTTCAACCACTTTCGTTGAAACTATTCGGGGGATTCCCAATTGGAAAGTCAGAAAGTCATGGATCCCTTGCCCAATCTGGCCACCTCGGGGACTGAAGTGGAGGATACGGTGAGAACGGCAAATCTAGAGACCGAGTCATCAAACCAATCCCCCGAATCATCACGTTCACCCCCTCAGCCCGCCCCAGCCCTGCCCTCGGAAGAGCTGGAACATGCATATTGGGCAGAGTACGAAGAGGACACAACCATCCCAGATGAGGACGAGATGAAAGAGATCGACGGCGGCGATTCGGACTACAGTGCGAGTGATCGTAGGTGTCAACCTTATATAAGACTACAAAACATCTAGTATTTACTGAACCTATGACAGACAAATATTGGGAAACCAACTTCTTTCGGGATCTAGGAGATCCCGAATACATTCCCACCGAAAAGGCCCGTCTCACGTGGACCTTCAAGGGTGTTCGGGGCACCCCCGAGAACCCTAATCGTGACAAAGTCATTCGCTCCCCACCGGCATTTGTTGGGGGATATTGGTGGCGAATCAAGTTCTACCCTCGTGGGAACAATGTCAATGCATTGAGTGTCTACCTCGAATGTTCTACCACAATGCCCGCTCCAGAGGGCAAGCTTCCTGAGACGGAATTTACGGTCCGTCGAGGCCCAGCCGATGCCTCACTGGATGATAGCACCCCGGATATTCAAATAAAGACTGCAGCCACGGATGACGCAGCAGCGTGGTTCGAGACCTACAAGTCTCAATATCCTGCAGCCAGGAACACGCCCGAATCTGATCATGGAACCCTGGACTCTTGGCGTGTACCTGCACAGGTCGGTGTCATTGTATACAACCCTCAAGAGCCACGCACTGGGTGGATGCAGTCTTCATGTCATCAATTCAACACTCACAACCTAGATTGGGGGTGGACATATTTCCACGGCCCATGGGACCAAATCCATTCACGCCGGCGGGGTCAACATCGTGCTCTCCTGAACAACGACACACTCTCGTTTGACGCGTATATTCGTATAGTGAACGACCCTACCAAGTCCCTTTGGTGGCACCCAAGTGATTCCGAGCCAACTTGGGATAGCATGGCCTTAACCGGTTACCGACCTCTGGGCGACTCAATCATCAATCATAGCCCAGAGGTAGCCGGGCTTGCCTCATGGCTGCACATTGCTCCATTTTGCAAGATCATTCAAAGCATTGACGTACTCGAACATCTCACCAATGCCGATGCTAGGCCGAAGCCCCTATGCGATGCTCTTCAAAGGCTTCTGTGGCAGCTTCGCCGCCAGACACTCTCCCCGAGCTATGTCGATACGGACGGCGTGACTACCACTTTGCGCAATCTGCATGAGTTTTCGAGCGATGTGTCCGAATTTTGGGAGCGTCTGCGTCGTAACTTAGAGCTAGAACTAAAGGGAACGGAGGCCGGCAAACAATTTGCTCGCCTCTTTGACAGTCCGGCCGTACATGCTCCGTCTTCTGATGGCGAAGTCCCTGTGAACATGCTGCCAACTGACTTCAACTCACGTCTTTACGTGCCAGTTGATCAAGCAAAGTCTACCTCCGAAGCCGTTAGTGGATACCTAAGTGCTAAGCCCGGTCGATGGTCGCTTCCATCGGTTCTTCATGTCGAGTTTGGCCGCCATGCTCTAGACAAGGCCAAACGCTGGCAGCTGC